AGCTTTAAGCTCCAACTCTAGAGCTTCAAGCTCCACTCCTACTCACCGCCGTCGCCCTGTGTGTGAATTCTTTCGAAAGATGCTCTCCATGCCTCCATGGCAATTCCAAGATCAGTTATTCGAATCCCCTTGGATCCAACACCCAATTTCTGCTCATACAGTCGTAGAGGTGCCGGAAGAATTCCGGGGTAAAATAAGAGGATGGTACAAGGCACTAACCATTCCAGCACTTTACACAATACCGCTGTCCTATACTTGATTTTTGCTAAACCAAGAAATCAACCTCACTCACCAGGGATCCACCTGCCAGGCAAATCAGGTGTTAGTCCCACATTTCGAGAGGATCCGCATCAACATCCTCTCGCAAAGGCCGACAGAGAGAGATCTAGACCACCGCATCTCCATCATGTCAGCACCATTGCAAAACCCAAATGAAGATTTGGGACTTGGGTGGGACATAGAGAGCTTTGCAGATCTCAACATAGGAGAAGAGAGCGTTTCCCGCAGTACTCAGCCAAACATCCCCTACAACATTCCGCTTAACATCCTCTTCTTCAACACTGAGGGCGTCGCTCGCCCTAACTTCCTCCAACACTACATGCACCTACATTCTAGCAGGCGCTTCCACCTCGTCATCATCACAAACACAAAAAAAGAAGGAAGCGAGGCCCAGTTCATGAGCCAAATCATGGGCTTTCCTAACACCAAGACCATTGCCCCGCCTCCTAGCGGCATGGAAAAGGTGAGAGGCGGAATCTGGTGCCTATGGAACGAAGCTGAAATCTCCTGTGAAGTAGTGGAAATTCCCCGGAATCAAGCCATCGTCCAACAAGTCCACATCTTTATTCGGCCGGCTCGCACCAGATGAAATTTAAAATGTAAACTCTCCATGAGCAATTCAAATGCCCCCATTATATCAAAAGCCTAATTTTAAACGACTCTATCTGAATACTTGTTTGCATGAGTTAATATTTTTCAAAACTTTTTAACATAGTCATGTACAAATACTCTCATCAGCTATAAGAGCATCTGTACATGGGGGCATTATTGTGGGTATTTGTATCAAGCTCAATACGTGCAAGCCCTACAGGTGCCACATCACCAAAACCCCACCTACGTGGCAGACCAATAAGGCACCACGTCTGGCATGTCGTATGTTTGATACATAGCGAGCCCTATGGGCGCCATGTGCCAAGGCAACCAAAACTATATGCTTAGCCTAAGCGGGAGCATATATACAAGCCCAAATATATCTAGATATGAAGAGCCCTGCAACAGGCAGCACCATGGCCCCGCAGGGCCCATGGTCCTTCATACCTCGCTCCAAGGCCAAACAACAATAGAATCAGCCCCTCGTAACTACATATATACCTTGCTGGGCTTAAATCTTTCCTAGAAGAGTGTTAGTTTCTATTTTTAAGAATTGTTCATATGGATGCTCAAGGTTTTGGAGAAGATCGGAAAAAATCCCGAGTAAATTAGGTTAAAATCTGAATGGTACCATAGTAGCACTTTTTTCTTTGTAAGAATGTGCCGATTTTCATACATGAGCAGCTGTGTTAGAGTATTGCAGTTCAAACCAAAAAGTTAGACCCACTTTCTAGAGGCAGTGATATGTCAAAGAAGATAATTGGTTGATAATTTAATATTCTCTGATGATTGGTTTATGAGCCCACCCGTTATACAAATTACAAATACTCAAAACCTTAAAAATATATCACATCATCTGTTAGTACACTAAGGTCATGTTTGTTTGGGTGGACATGAGCTTGGGATTGGACTAATAATCTAATAAAATTATTAATTCAATATTTGGTTAAACAATTGAAGTACGGACTAATTATTTTAAACTTGACTATTAGTTAAGATAGGATACATAATCCAACGAATTCGTAGCCCTAGGACTATTAGTCATGGGAATGCTAATCCAGTCCGCCCAAACAAACATGGCCTAATTGGTATACCAATTGATGCATATAGCATTATTCAATCTAGCAAGTGGGTCTAAAAAGTGGACTTATATATTATTTTTTGCCATATAATTGTGGGAAATACTAAGGGCTTGTTTGATTAATGGGATTAATAGTGAAAGATTAATTATTCCATGAATTAGTGTAGGATTAGTTATCCAATCAAATTAGTGAGATAACCATTTATTATGTATTTATTTTGTTTTTGTTTTTGTTTTTGTTTTTGTCTTCTTTCATACTTGAATTATAATCCTTAGCCCCTCTCAATATTAAAAATTTGCAAATTTTCGTCCGATTGAATATTTGTCGTACATATAATCCAGTTATTTTGTGTCCAGTTGTGATTGGGGGCTCTAAAGGAGCTGCTCTAACAGCAGCTCTAATGAGCTGGCATGGAGTAAAAAATAAAAAAACAAGGAACATACATCACATCAACAGTGGGTGGGACCCGCTGTCAGCTCATTAAAACTGGCTTTAGAGCTCAAGAATTAGAGCGTTAAACCATTTTTCTTTTGTGTCTGGTTGGGGGATTTAGGAATGGATTTGGAAAAAGAAAGAGAAAGAGAAAAGATAGGTGAAACGTGAATAAAATATACCTACATTTTACATAGTTTCACACGCCTTGTCGTTTTCGTTTTCGTTTTCGTTTTCGTTTTCGTTTTCGTTTTCCTTTTCCTTTTACAAATCCCTTCCCAAATCTCTCAACCAAACCCAGCATTAATAAAATTTGCAATTAAACATGGGATTGTGAGTCTATGGATTAACAATCTCAATCCTATGCTATAATTCTTGTAATCAAACATACCCTAAGAGTGAAGTTGTTGAATGAAGAGTTAAGATGAAAACCTGTGGAGGCTATATCTTCATTATTTTGGTAGAATCTAATACTGCTTTAACTAAAGGTTATTTTTTGAAGTGTAGAACTAAGAACTTTAAATGAAAGAGTTGATATTTTTCTTCTGTTTCTTGTCTACCGTTTTCTTTGTAGGGTTAATGATATTTTTCAAAAGTGCACTTCTCAAATTTGTCTTTCTATTACCTTCTTCTTCTTCTTCTTATCCCCCCCTCGTTTTGCTGGGAATTTTGCCTTTTAAAACAAGAAATTAAAAGTTTGTTTTACTTTGTTAATTTGGGTAGTTTACTATTGGGCTATCTATAATCATTTTTTTCTTGTAGTGAATAAATGCCGCAGCCAGTGACATAGTTGTCCTGGGTGGTATCTAGTCTAGATTTTGGAGAGGAACCTACACAACCTTTGAGATTGGGGATTTGGCCACCCCTCCAAGTCGGGCCCTTTTCCCTAATAAATGATGATAAAATCAAGTTCTCAAATATGAAATGTATAGTGAATAAATATGGTAGTAAAGTATTTGGTGATTTCAATAAGTTTGTTACATGTCGTTCCAAAAAAAAAAAAAAGGTTTGTTACATAGTCACAAAATTATGCAAAAAAAAAATTTCTACGGCTGCTTTTAGGAGAACATTTCCTTTCTTCACATTTCAATTTTGAGTTAGCATTATTGTTATTGGAAATGTTAGTATCATTGTGATTTTGTTTCTAGAATGTACGTTCCCAAACATGGTATGCCTTTATTCCAAAACGATGAATTTAGCATCCAAACTTATCACAATTATTTTTTTCCTATTATTTCTTCAGGAGGATAAAAGGTCATTATTGTGATTTTTATTTTGGAATGCATATTCTGAAACATAGTAACACTTACTAGTAAATTTAGCAATCTAAAGAACCCAAGGGGTTAGCCTGGTAACAAGGCCTTGGGTCTTGAGGGTATGTTCCCTCCAAGGTTCAGGAATCGAAATCTCTTTTTATGGTGCACTTGTGAAAAACTCCTTGTTGAGGGCTTGTGCACCCCTAGAGATTAGTCAGGCTTTGATCCGAATACTCCGGTGCCAATAAAAAAATATATATATTAGCAATCTAAAACTATTCCAAAAAATTATTTAAATCAAACCAAGCTTTAAGTCTCATCAAATGAAATCAGTTCCAAAAAATTGTCTATCATTATTTTTACTAGGATAAGAAAATCAAATTTAATGAACTAAATTTTAAAGAAAGTGGAGTTTTGGAAAGGACAAAGGACACAATGTAAAGCAATGGGACCATAATGTTCCTAAAATGTGGTTTTACATGATTAATTTGACAAATAATACACTATATTTAATTGGATGGCTAATTAGAAAAAGAAAATTGCCCTCACCTTTAGAAATACATGAATTCTGATAGTATGATGTATACAAGCATACACATACCACATCTTAGAGCACGGGACGAGGTGGTGGCTTATCACATTCTAGGTAAGAAAATTGCCCTCACCTTTAGAAATACATTAATTCTGATAGTATGATGTATACAAGCATACACATACCACATCTTAGAGCATGTGATGTTGTGGTGGCTTTTCACATTCTGGGTAAGAAGTACGGATACTGCGATTTCAAAAAAATGGGAATATGAGCATGGCAAGAACATAGCAATAAAATATGTTTTCATATATTTTTATTTATTATCTAGATTAATATTACATTCACAAACAATTAATATTATCAAAAATTAACTCTTAATTCTATATTTTTATTATTAAAAAAAAAACACTTTTAAATTAGCACTTATATCTTTTTTTTTTATGGATGATTTATTAAATATTTAAATCTAAGAAAAAATAATAAATATTTAACATTCATCAAAATCACTAAATAAAATGGAGAAAAAGATAACTTGGCATATCCTTAGTGTGTCCTCGACGTGTCTCCTGAAAATAAATTAATTAAATAAGGGGACACGCCATGTGGTGTGTACCATATGTGTCACCGCCGTGTCCGTGTGTCCCCGAAGTGTCTATGTATCCGAAACGGATACGGCACTTGTTTTGAAGTGTCGGTGTTTCATAGCGCTGTAGTTTTAGTTCCCTTTCCTTGTATTGGAACGATCTGCATACAAGTGACAAGGTTAGCACATATATCTTGTTTTTATTTCCAATATTGAAGGCTGATTACCCTTCTGTTCTGCAGGGGACATTTCTGTGATATCTGACTATACAAATTTTTAGATCAAAAGTGGAGAAAAATTGATTTTTCATTTTTTTCCATACGGTTCTTCAAATTCTCTAGTCATGCTTAAGATCCCAGTCCATCAAGTTGCTGGTCACCACGCTGGTGATAGAAAGCTTGGCCCCCTAGTAGATGATTCTGGACGATTCTACAAGCCTCTCCAGAGTGATGATCGTGGCTCCAATGAGTTATCCTTCTACACATCATTCTCTTCCAACATGAAGATCCCAGATCACATTCGCAGGTTCTTCCCGACCTTCCATGGTACTCAGCTTCTAGAAGCATCTGATGGATCCGGTTTGCTTCCTCACCTTGTTTTGCAAGATCTTTCCATGGGTCACCTCAATCCATCGATCATGGACATTAAGATCGGCTCCAGAACCTGGCCCCCACAAGCATCCGAGGACTACGTAGCTAAATGTTTGAAGAGAGATAGGGAAAGTACAAGTGTACCATTGGGTTTCAGGATATCAGGGTTCCAAATCTACAGAACCAAAGAAACAGGATTCTGGAAACCCAACAGACAGTTTTTTTTAAGTTTTTCTGCAGACGATGTTAGGTCGGCTCTGAGGAAGTTTGTTTCATCAAATGGATCTGCAGATTCGGATCCAGATTGTGCTTTTGCATCAGTTGTTTATGGTGGTTCGACCGGGATTTTGGCTCAATTGCTGGAGCTGAAAGCATGGTTTGAGGACCAAACTATTTTCCATTTCTATTCTTGTTCAGTGCTTATGACGTTTGAAAAGGAGTTGGCATTGGAGGGAAGGAGCTCGGGTGCAGAAATCAAACTGGTTGATTTTGCACATGTTGTGGAAGGTAGAGGTGTTATTGATCATAATTTTCTTGGTGGTCTCTGTTCTTTGATTAAGTTTATTTCGGAAATACTTACCACTCCAGATGAGTGTTACCCACCCAAATCTTGTCTGCAGGACTCTGAGAAGAGCCACTTTTGTTCTGATGATGGCGTTAACGAATAAACACATTCGTGAGCCCTTTTAATCATATATTTGCTTTCTAGTGGTCTATGCTGTATTGTCAGGATTTTATGAATTCTAATTAATTTCAGTCTTGGAACTGTAGTTTACTTGAATAGATTTGGATTCAGGTTCTTATATATATTTCTATATTATGTTCAATCATTCAACACCTGAGCCTGTTATTTCTAGGTTGGTGGTTAGTTTTCATGACCTGAAAGAAAGAATTTTAATGCCATGATTCAAATGGAAGCAAGTCCTGCCATCATACTCCAAAATTGGACATCGATAATTGAGGGGGTTTTCCTTCCTATTTTCTTTCCTCCTCATGTTCTTCCATCTTATTATGAGAACCAAATGACATTAGAAAATAAAAATAAAAATAAATAATAAATAAATCTTATACATAATTTCATATTTATTTTAATTTCTCACTCTTAGATTCAAGGCAATGAGAATTGCATACATGACTAAATACACATACGACCCTCTCACTTGTAACTAGAGATAAAATAAAATAAAATTTAAAAAAGAAAAACAAAAAATGTTAGTAGAATTCATGGTTGTATGTCAATGCCAATGTGGTTAACTAATATTTGAGACAGTATTATTATCTCGATTTTAAGGTCTTGGAGTTTGACTCCTGTAAGAGTGAATGAGGTTGTGGTTGTAACTTTGTTGTATGATTATGACTCTGTTTATTAGACTTTCATATAGTTGAGTGTTCAGTTTAATGTAGTTCTTATAATATTTGTAAATGACAAATGCTAATGTGGGTGTTTGGGAAGTGAGTTTTTTTGTATGTTTTTTTAGTTGTAAGATATTATTGGAGAAAAAAAATTGTGTTTAGGAAAATAGTTGGGTTTTTTTGTGGTTGGATGTGATGTTTGTTGGAGAAAAAGTAAAATGATTATGGGGTTTGATGTGATATTTTGTTTGGATTTATTTTTTTTGGTTTTGTAACCAATTTGTCTTTTAGTGAAAAAAAAAACCAAAAAAAATCCTTCTCAAACACCGCCAATAAGTGTTCTCTATGCATTGTTTAATGTTGGGAAGTGTGTATAAAGTGTCTTAAAAATATGTAAAATTATTAAAAAGTGTATTGATTTCAGTAAAAATGAATTAAATTTAGTAAAAAATATCTTTCACTTGTGCTCTAGGGACACTTGTTAGCAAGATCATTTGTAAATTATTTCCTATTGATTAAAAAAAAAATCATGATTGTGTTTAGAATTTAATAGAAGACTAAGGCCTTGTTTGGGAACTCAAGTTGGGGCTAAAATAGCCAATAAAGACCAAAAAAAAAATTTAAAATAACCAATAAGACAAAATATACACTATGTATATCAATTAATCAATTTTTCTCTCACAACTATCTATTTCACTACAAAAATAAAAAAAATCACAAATCATCTTAAACACAACTTTTTTTCATCTCATAAAATAATCAAAACATTAACTAAAATAGCCAAATCTCCGTACTAAGAAAATTAGACGGGAACAATTTGGGTAATTTAGGCACAAGGACATCATCCAAAATGGACTATTCAGATAAATACAGCTCACCTTAATTTCTTCGAAGCAATGCACTGCTTACGAGATAATCCACTTCAAACAACAGTAGTGAATTGAACTCCAAGCTTCAAACTATTACTTCCACTTGTTGCAACCCCCAAAAAATCATCCCACAAATATATATATATATATATATATATATTTATATGTCACCTGACAACAAAGGTGTGGTAACACAACAAAAGATCATTCAAACCAAGATGGTGAGAGCCTGTCTTCTTCTTCTTTGCATTGCCTTCTCATCTCACTACCTGTCCATGGCACTTGGCAGTGACAACCTCCAGGACACTTGTCCAACTGCCACACTGCCACTGCCAAACACCTTCATTAACGGCTTCCCCTGCAAAAACCCAGCCACCGTCACTGCCTCTGACTTCAAATCATCGTCGCTCAGCCAGGCAGGCGACACATCCAACATCCCCGGCTCTTCCACGGCTATTTTCACTGCTGCAGACTTTCCAGGGCTCAACACCCTCGGCCTATCAGTTGCCAGGACCGACATAGATGTGGACGGCGTAGTCATGCCCCATTATCACCCCAGAGCCTCTGAGATGTTGTTTCTGAGCAAAGGTGTTGTGACTGCTGGTTTCACTGATTCACAAAACAAAATATTTTTGAAGGAAGTTAGACAAGGTGATGTGTTTGTGTTTCCCAGGGGACTTGTTCACTACTGTTTGAATATGGGTTTAGAATCTGCTGTGGGTTTTTCTGTGCTTAATAGTCAGAATCCGGGTTTGGTGGGAGATTTTGATTCTATGTTTGTGTCAGAAGGTGAGGAGGTGATTAGCAAGTTGAAGAAGAGATTGGTTTCTCTGTCTGCTTTGCAGATGGATCGTGTTGAAAATGGGACTTTCTTTGGGTTTTAGGTATTTGTATAATGGTTTCATAGCAATGCTATGAATACTTCAAACAAGATTTGATGATTGTTTATCGATGATTTTGTGTAAAACGATTGTATTTATTTGTGTGATTTTGGGTAATGTTTTGTCCCAAATTGGTTTATTGCTTCCACTACTGTCCCAGTTGGCTTGTGATTTGATTGTCACACTCATAGTAGCTCTTGTTGGGAGAAGTATGCTTCCAACAACTGTCAAAATGTAAATTTAAATAAATTTAATAAGAAAAAAAATATATACAAACACAAGAGACACCACACAAACTCTCTCTACTTAATTGTAAGTACAAAATAAATATTCTACCCTCAACAGTATGTCCACTCTCCTAATACTAGGAATCTCTCTAAAATGGGTAAATAAACAAATTCAATTCTTTAAGTTTTGCCCAAACTTGAGACATGGAACAAGAAAAAGCACACCACTTGAGTAATTAATCACATGTTTGTTGTTACTCCACTCTCTTCTTAGGTGCTATAAACAATCTCCTTGAAGTTTGTTCCTGTGCTAACAATTCTCTAAGGATTTGCAAGTAGCAAATCCAAAAGTGTTGGCAGCTCATTTATTATGCTGTACGTCTAACTCTTTCTGCCATAGTCTACATTTCTTATTGTTGCATTAGCCATCATTCATGATCGCTGGACCCTCCTTCACTTGTGATAGTTGGTGAGGAGAGACCCTAACAGGTTTTGTACCTTTCCAAATTTCTTTTCAATTACAAAGAGGGAAAGGAAATAAGCAGAGGAGTAAGATGAAAAAGAGGAAAAGAAATAAAAAAAATCAAGAGAGAGACAGAGAAAAAATATGGTATGAACACAAAATAATTGCAATATCCTGAATGTACAAGCAATTTATGTATTAGATTGTGTAACTAAATCTTATACTTCCACCTCTTCATAATTATTTTGAGTTTATACTATTATTTTGCAATTGCCAAAAAAAAAAAAAAATGTTGGGAAAAAATAGTTTGGCCGAGATTCTTAGAATAACATATAATTTTGACAAATTATAGCATGTGTAAAAACTATAATTATTTTAAGCAATATTGATGACATAACATTGTATTGTTTTTATGTACATCATAATTTATATTTGCAAAGAATTGAGAGAAAAAAGAAAGAGCTTAAAATTTTTATGTACACAATTTATTAGAGTGTGCAAGTGGAAGAAAGAATTGCATGAAAAAATAACCCCTAATGTGAGAGGGTTGATGTTTGGCAGTGGCACAACTAAAAAGCTGTATCGGGATATATAAGATTTTCACACAATGAGATATAAATGTGAGATTCACTTTTTATCTCATATAAGGGTCTCATCTTATGAAAATCTTTTATACAGTTAGACTTATACTCAATGATTAATAGCTTGACCTTTTTTGATTGAGAAATAAAAATTGAATTTGATAATTTCAAATAAAAAAGAAAATACCTATGAATTAATGGATTTTGATTTGAGTAACACTATACAAACAAAAAAATTTATACATAATTTTCATATGTAATGATGTGACATATTATAGACCTTTCATTTCAAAAAGAAAATACCATTAAAGATGAATTTATTTATAATAATGGTAATGCCATATCATTTTTGTCAATTTTTTTATATGAATTTTATATATATTTAGAATTTTCTTTTTGATTTTGGTAAATTTCATTTGTGCAATCAAAATTGCGCTTTGTAAAACCGCAATCTGAATTACATGAGAAAGTGGTAATTTATTTGTTTAGTTTTTAATTTTCAAATATAAATTTGAGTTTTTGAGGGGTTTTTTTTTGTGTGTAATTAATAAACACTTTTTATATTGTAATTATTTTTTTAATTTTTAGATACAACTAAGTAAAATATTTATAAAATAATTTGAAAATTTTTTAGTAAATTAAAAAAAAGAAGAAGCACAGTTTCTTTCTTTATTTCTTTCTTTCTTTTGGGTAAATTTTATAATTTTTTTAGGTGAATCAATTTTTATTGCATCTAAAAAAACTTATTAAAAAAAAAAAAAAATCAAAACGATTTTCAATTAAGCAGATTTGTGTTTGATATTCTACTCCTCCTCGAGCATTTTTGGAAGTATTTTACGAACTCTAAGTACCATTGCGCGCCAACTTGGTCTTGAAGCACAGAAAGAAATTTAAAAATGGTGATGCTCTGCTTCGTGTTGGATCTTCGGAGCCTATCGCCTCCATTACTTGGAGACTTGAAGCAGGTAAATACATAAACACACATTCTTCGTCTTCTTCCTCTTTCAGCTGTTATATATGCACGTATGTAGACATTCATTGTGTATCTAATACATACAACCGAATTACTGTGTGTATTCTTTGTTAGTCCCTATTGCAGCTTGCAAATTTCTATGCCGTTTCGGCTCAGATTGGTGAGAGACCACGCTCTGACCACCTCAGCGATCGGATCGGCCTGTGCTATGTCCGCAAGAATCGAATTTCTTGTTCTAATGAAGTAAATACTCCTATTTTATTTGTTTTTAATGTAGAGACTGATGGATTCATGTGAATGAAACTAGGGTTTTGATGTCGAGAAATTTGATATGTCAATTGGATATCACGTGGCAAAACTTTATTAAATGTAATGAAATACAATAGTAGAAGGTATCAAATGACATATACTCTATCTGCATACAAAAATTAGTCTTTGATGTCTGTCTATATTTACTCACTCACATTCTTTATTCTTAGATTGTGTTTAGATTATGGATTTATTTAGGTAGGGATTTGAAAAGAGAAAGGAATAATATGGATAAAATGTCCTACATCCATAATTCAAACACTGCCTTAGGGTACAGAAATTCTCATTACACACCATTTGTTTTGTTAGGATATCAACTTTGAACAAAAATCAAATGTTCTGACTTCAACTTCTCAACAAAAAATGAATTGTTCGGATATAAAATAGTTGATCTCCAAACAACTAATTTTTTGTTCGGATGTCCAGATATTTGATTTTTGTTTGAAAGTTTATATTTGAACGGCACAAATGGTGTGTACAGTACAAGTGTGTTGTGCGAATAGAATTACCCTTATTATTGTCTACCAATGTATGAGTTGAAATCAATGAAATTCCATGGTTTCTGATTCAATCAAAACTGTGAACAGGTGAAGGTCGTTTACACACCAAGAGGAAACTTCAGTCTCCGCAATTTCCACCATGCCGTCAACAACTTACCTACCGATGCTTTCTTGCCTGAATTCAATGGTAGCGGAGCTCTTTCTTGTTGTGGTAATCTCTCTCTGTGTGTATGCTTGTTTTCTCGTATGTACCTGTGTGTAAAACATACATTATTCGATTTATTCTTACTTGTTTCCTTTATTTTGTTGTTGATCATTTGCGAGCAGATATGAAACTTACAAGCATCCTAAGCAATGAATTCTTGTACTCATGTGGTGGACATGAGAAAGATATTGCAAGAAAAGTGATACTGATTAGCTCGTGTGTGGTTGAAAATCTAGATTCAGTCATGAAAGATACTCTCATGGTTAGGCAAATTTCACCAAGAGTTTCAAATTCTCTAATAAATGCCTGTTGGCAACATAAGCTGTGGATATTGAACTTCCTTTTGGCGGTTTTTCCTTTATAGGATGCAGCAGACAACTATGTTTCAGTTGAGTTTTTATTGCTGGAGCAACAATCAAGCCATCTTGGCGATTTATCTGAAAAAATCAGCAATTTTGTGAAGCAAATTTCTGATCTTGAGAATTGTTCATTTCATGCCTACCTGCCAGGTTAAATACATCTCTGATTGTGTAGGAGACAGTAATTTAGATAATTGTGTAATACCTATTTGTTTATAACCATTAACCATTGAATGATTAAAACCTAGTGGCATGCACTTCAGTTTCTGAGTACAAAGTTGCTGAAGTATGTCAGAGAGGGCTCTGATTATAGTATAGATTAATGTATAATCAGGATTGAGTTAGTCCTCCTAGGTACCAAATGTAGGAATGCCAAAAATATCCTCTATTTATTATTTGAAAGTGGGTGGGGAAAGTGTGGTTTATCATGAAAACTACCCTTTCTGTTTCTGTATTTTAATGGAGATGGCTGGAAGAGCATTCTTATGGTAAGATGGGAGAGGAGAATAGGTGGAACCATGGGAACGATCTAAGAATACATTTATTCTTTTCCAGCCCTTCAGTGAAGCCCGGGATTTTGGTAGTTTTTTTATGCTGTCTACAAATTGGTTGACAAGACTGGGACCAAAAATCTTGATCTAGATTTAAACACAGGGTCTTGCATTGAGGGACAGCTAGTGAATTGACATGCATATATGTACATTGTAGTTGTAGCATATAGGAACTACTCTCAAGTAGAAAACTTGGAAAAGTATCTGTATTAAGTATTAATGAAGAACAAATTTGCAGATGCACAAGTATTATGTGGCCTGGTAAAACGATGGCTACAGGAGTTGAAGGATGACATGGATGAACCATTACAGGCTCATTTTGTCTTCAAGAGCAACTTTTTCTGCTCTCTAAACCTAATATCCTGCAATTTGTCTGCATCTTCCAATCACATAATCGATGAGTTCAGTTCCTGTCAGGTATTTTATAGAAAGTCTGCATTTGTATATATTCTGAAGCATCTGATCTTGAATTATTCATACTGGTTGATCACCGATTTAATTTTTAGACAGCCAAACAATTATCCTGTCTCATGAAACCAAGTTGTGTAGACAACTCAACTAAGCATGTTGGTGTGCTAGGTGGCAACTACTATTGGTTTTATATATTGTACATAGTGTACATATATTTTATCTCTGACTTTGCCATAAATGAAGCTTTCATTTGTTATTTCCAAGGAGGTCTTTATCTTGGATACTAGGTAGGACACATCAAATGGTGTTCTTGAAATTCTATAATGTTTAGATTGATACGTTTTGAGGAGCTATTCTTCATGTTACACTTAACTAGCTACATCTCGTTCTTTATTTTGCTAGCTTGTGAGGTTATTTTCTTTGTCAAAAACCATGTGTGGTGGCATCTGATTTGTGGCTTTCTAGCTGAACATGCTCTATGGATCCTATAATCCCTGTGTTTGGTCTGAGGCTGTTATATTTTCTCACAAATCAGATCATATTGCTACTAGTTGCTGGTTCACCAAGCCTCAATATTCATGAGATATTGAGTTTAGTTCTGTGGAATCAAATATCTGTTGTATATGAAACAGATTAATTTTGTGACAGCAGTCGTAGAGAATATCCAATTACTACCAAGCCAGGTCACTTTCTGATTGGATTGTTTGACAAGGTTGAAAGGAGTTGAGCCTCAAAAAGCCTCCACCCAAAGCATGTTAGAAAATAAAAAGATCAAGAGAGCAGAGGCTCTGATATTCAAGTAATAAAGCAGTGGTAGATAATTTATGTGACTCTGCAAGAGGCCTAATAATACTGCATTGTTTTATATTTACCAGGGTTAGCACTAAGGAGTTGCGTGGCTGGTGTTTTCAGGAATTTAGTCTTACGAGATCTTGTCTAATGAGTTTGCCTCATTTCAATTTATTAGTTTAGCATACATTGCTAGAATTTTGTATTATACTTGGCTCCTAATTTTGTTGGTCAAAAAATTTTTTAATGGGAAGAAAATTCTTTACCATTTTAGTATAATATTAACTATAATACTGTGTATCATTCCTAGAGTGCTTTTATATCATCCATGCATTTTACCTTGACGGTATTGTTCTATGTTATGAAACACTGGTATTGCCTTATTAGTATTATAATTTACGTTCCCTCATTTGTTTTTATGAGTGCGTTGTATACTAAGAAATGTAATTATTGTTGCTATGGTGAATAGACATGCAGGTGCCATGGCATCCCATTAGATAATGCATTTGGACAACAAACCAAGCGGTCTTCTTGTCCAATTACAGGCAATGATCTGGAAACATTTAGTTTGATTGAAAATTCTGTGAAGGTTGGAGAACATACAATTCTGTTTCTGCCCTCATTCCAGAACTGTGTGAAGCTCCAACATGTTTCTCTGCCAGTTGACCTGAATGTTATTGAAAGGACTAACTTAGGGTCCCTGAGTGAAGGTAAGTATGAAGCATGAAACTAGTTGAATTTTATGAACAAATGAGAGGTCAAGAAGCGAGAGTTTGCAAATATTGTTTATATATCTATTTCATACCCATACTGGAGGCCGAGTTCCTTGTTCGGAAGTGAAATGATACTACGTTATTTGTGGTTTTCAATTAATTTGTAATTCTTATACACTAGTACTCACCTGAAGAGGACTGCAGAGAGACTCAATCCTTGAGGCTCATGCCTCTAGCACGAAATAGCTGCACATATTATAATCCAATCCTGCATTGTTAGGGGCTTACACAGACTGCATATCTTAAATATTTACAGCCTGTTTGGTTGAGTGAAGGAAGGGCGCGGAGGAAAGAGGAGGAGGGAAGCTATTTCTTATTTTTTGCTGAGGATGATCAAAAGGCACGGAAATGAGGGAAAGGCCTCTTTCCGCCTAGGCCCACAAGATTCCGTCCTCCCAAAAATGGGAGGAAGAGGAGTAGGAAAGAGGACCTGTTCCCGTTCCCTTTAATTTAAATGTGAATTTACAATTTTTCCCCCGAAAGTTGGTTAGTCTTTATAATGTGAAGGTACAAGTGTAATTTAAATAAAATGACATAAAAACCCATTTTCTTTCCATCCCGCCAAACAAAAATAAAGGAAACCCACAATCCCAGGATACACTTCCCCTCCCTGCTGTTTTCATTCCTCCAACCAAACGTAGAAATGCTATATTTTACCATCTAGGGAAAAGAAGGATTTAGACTGTTAACTTTTTATCAAAAAAATTTGTTAGTTTTAGCCTTCAAAACTCTTCTACTGCCTGCTTTACACTTCCTCTGGTGAGGATTGAAGGGAATGTGTCCCATATAAATTTTATGTGTGAATTTACTTACGCTGTGTTTGGTTGGGGGATTTGGGAAGGGAAGGGAAAGGGAAAAGGTGTGTGAAACTAGGTGAAATGTAGGTATATTTTATTTACATTTCACCTATTTTTTCCCTTTCCTTTTCCAAATCTCTTCCCAAATCCCCCAACCAAACATAGCGTAAGTCATTTTATTGGGTAATTAGAATATTTTCTTTGTTTTCTTTTTTTTGGGTTAAAAATTTAAGAGCTGGAATATTTTTATGAGGGGTCTGATTGTCAGGCAAACTGGAGATCAATGCCAGCTATAGTACAGATTCAAGACATGCAATATACTATTTCAACTTCCCCCCTTAGCTGCATCTACAACTAACTCTCCCTTTTTGTCTTTCAAACAGGGGTTATTTTAGGGACTTCATTTATTGTAACTCCATCAGCTTTTCATGAATCAGATGACATTGATAAGTCAGAGCTAAACACTCAACGTGCGTCGAAGGCCTCCTCTGACTTCCTAATTTGCAGCATCAAATTAAATTAGACTCTTTATATTGCACTTTGGCATTGAATCTCTGAGTTATCGTGATTAAATGTTAGTTAATGTTCTGGTTTCACTTGTGCGTAAATGTTTGAGAGTTGCTGTTTATTTCACTTCTGCAATGGACTTTGGTTTGGCAGTTTTTCAAGGGCTTTGCAGTGCACTACATTCCCTTGACCAAGGTTTAGTTTGCTCTTCAAAGTGTAATATAGAAACTATGAAGGAGTCTCTCTTTCACTGCTATTATATTCTTCTTCCCTCAGAAAAGGGACCAATGCTTCTCAGGGTAAATAATCTTTTTCATCTCTTTTTCGGTGAATTGCACTTACTTCCTGTGAGGTTTCTTCTAGTTGTTGGTTCCTTAAAGATTATTACACTGACCTCCTTGCTGGATCATAGCTGATGACAAACACTTCTTTATTTGTTAAGAATGTCATTCAGCAAGGGAAACCATCTACACCATGTATTTCTCAACTTTACCTTTGTTTCCATTGCAAGAGAGATAGTTGGAGGACTATTGAAAAGATGAAGTAACAGAAGAGGAGAGGAGAAATGGAAGAAAGGTGGAGGCCTTTCTTAGGAGCTCAAAACACTTAGGAACTCAACTCAAGTTCACTGCAAACATCTTGAATCAATTGAATTAAATTAAATCTGACGTGATGGGAGGATAGCAAGTTGATGGAGATAATAGTGGTTGTGCTTTGCAATTTTAATCGGTTAATTAATGAAATAACTATTTTAGCTATTCCTATACTTCTTGTTTGGTACTCGTACAGGCTTACTGCTTTTATATTTCTCTGCCTCTCTGTTCTAGTTTCATTCACGAGGTATTGTTGAACATGCAGAGACTTGCAGGATCAGAAGAAAATTTGCCTTTCCCGGATGTTAGTCAATTAGTGGGTTCTTCAGCAACAATTGAGATCGAAAACTCCATTCGAACCTCTTTGCTGAAGGTTGGAGACTATTCATGAGTTTTTTTTTATTTGTTTATTTTATTTATTTATATTTATATATATATATATATTTCAAATACTGTGCTAATCGTTTTCAGTTTTTGTCAATATCATATGTTGATTTAGATTCCCTTTGTAGTAAGGTAAAATAAATCAAGTGATTTCAACATGCTTCCACTACCCAATGATAAATTAAACTGTACGGGCAGTCATATTTATTATTGAACTCTTGGACAAGACTGTCCAAGTTTCTCATCAAGTGTGATAACATTAGGGTAAAAAGTTAATGATCTTTAATTCATGATGTTGTTAGCAAAAAATCTGGTCTGGGCCAAATCGACAGATGTGATTTGACAGAAAATCCAGAATTTCACAAACAACAATAGATCAAGCAATTGTGGTCTGAACGTTCCATGCCTTGACAGATTCAAGAACTTCTTTGGAGGCTGTAATGCAAAGAAACAAGAAGGAATAAACTAAAAATCAATTGTAGAACAAACAAACTTGGAATTTAAACAATAAAATTAAATTTCCAGTTCAATATACAGGACAATCGACAGAGAACTCTTAGTTATAGAAACTAAACTACAGATAGACTACTCTTAAGTAAGAACTAGGTAAGTTAAGTTACTCCTAATGCTATAAGGGTTGTAAATATGTTTGAAGATCCTTTCTAACTTCGAATTTCCAGCTTTTATATTGCTGGTCTTCAAACTCCACTACTGCTCTGCTGCCACATGTCTCATCATGTAGCCAGCTACCTCCACTTCAATGCCCATGATCTCTGCAACTGCCAGTAACTGCTTCTCTGTTATAGCTTTTCTCCTTCTAGGAAACGTGACACGTATCCTGTATGCCTTGCATGCTAACTTTATGGCTTGATGCCTGGGCCATGTTTGGCCACATTCCACTTCACTACTAGACGAATCGACAGGAAAACTACAATTGCCACGTCTGTCTCTTTGACTATTTCCTTTTTGTCACTTGCTCTATATTCTAGACTTCATATTCACCCGCTTTTCACTTGTAAACTTGTTGAAACTCATGGTCCTTAAACCTAGCATCTGCTGGACCAATTCTCTGCATTTGTTACATACAATCGACAGAGAATATACAATTTTTAGTGTCAACAATGCCCCCCTCATTCGAGACAAAAAAGGAGTTTTTTGCCTTGAATGATTATCTAAAAGAAATAAAGTTGGACATTTAAATATTTGGGCTGTTTATCTACAATTTGTCATAAGGACCAAATGTTAAATGTTAAAAATTAATCCAACATAATTTTCAAGAACTCCGAGTAAGCCCAATTGATCAAACTATCAAATAAAGCCCAAATTTTAAAACTGAGGGCCCACCACAAGCTATTTGAATGCCAGAATTCAAATCATCATTCCACCATTCTCTATCTTTCTCTGCTATTTGCCTCTGACTTCGAAAAAAACCCTTCTGCTCACACTCTCTAATGGCGCCCAAACGAGATCAGGTCAAAGGAAAGAAACAAACTGAGCCATCATCTGTCCAACATTTTCCAATAAATTTTCAGCAGCTACTGCTTCAAAACCTCTTTAACAGCTGCATTATCCCACGCCATGACAACCTTGGAGAAGGAGAACTGGGCCCTACTTTCAATATAACCATTCCTGATGAACTTACCTAGTACTATCCTATTGCAAACACTGAAACACTACTCTTCAACAAAGCAGAGCTGTCATGGAAACATTGGGATTTCAGCCCTAATCCTCTACGCACATGGCAAAACCCCAATCCAGACTGGAAACGATAGGTTCAACGAATGATGATATACGACATAGACCTCTGGAGAGCTTTAGGTATTTACAATGCCGTAAGGTTATCAACTTTCTCTCTAGATATGGACAAATGGGCCATTGGTGCTGCTACATGCTTTTGGTCTTTGTAAAAAATAAATTGATGTATTATTATTTATTTGATGATTGATATTACAAGATTGTTGATATTGTGTTATGTATTACAACTCCTATATATAGAAGAGAAGGTGGTAGTAGGTGTAGTGTAGTGGAGATGGTGTAGTGTAGTGGAGGTGGTAGGTGAAGTGGGTGCTAGTGGAGATGGTAGGTGGAGGAGTAAATTGGTAAATTCTAACAGTCTTCATCCTATAATTCCCTCATTCTAAAATGTGGTATGATGTCACCTACTATTCTTGATGTTGTCCATTTGACTAGCCTCCCTTTTTCTGGTCAACATATCAGTGCCCTTTTAACCCCAAAGACACCTATTTGGTAAATTCTAACAGCCCCCCGCAAACTCAAGGAGGATAGAAACTAACCAACTTGAGTTTGGAGAGAGGAACAAAACAAGAAAATACATAATAAAATAAAAACAAAGATAGGAGACACTGTATGGTCGTGTCAGACCGTTGGTGAAGACACTGAAAGGTGGTGTCATAACGTTGTAGAAGACACTGTATGGGGGTGTCATAACGTGGTAGAGGACACTGTATGGTGGTGTCATACCGATGTAGAAGACACTGGATGGCGGTGTCAGACCGATGTAGAAGACAGTTTATGGGGTCATGTCGGACCGTTGTAGCAGACAATGTTGTGACAGTTGTTGTGACAGTTTACGGAGTCTTGTTGGACCCTTGTAGAAACTAACCGGAATCAATGGCGGGACAGTTTACAGAGTCTTGTCGGACCCTAGTAGAAACTAACCGGAATCTATGTCGGGACAGTTTACAGAGTCTTCTCGGACCCATAAAGGAACTAACCGAAATTAATGTCGGGACAGTTTACAGAGTCTTGTCGGACCCATAAAGGAGCTAACCGGAATCAATGTGGCGGATGGATGCAAATGCCTGATAACCTTCTATAGGCTCATCAAATGCACGATTTCCTTACATCTGTGGCCTTGGTTGCCCTAGGTCTTATTCCTATATCATTTAAGTTATGATTAAACACTGAATTTGCGGGGTATTCCCTCTCAAACACAGGATTTATAGTCATTCCCTCCCTATATTTTTCTTGGAGTGTGGAATGTCTATAAAATAATATTGGTTCATTTACATTTGCTTGTTGTTGAGGGGCCACATGAGGTATGAATTGTGCTTTATTTACCTGAGTCTGCTCCCCAACCCTTCTTGATTGGCTGGGCTTGATGTTGGCTTTCTCAAACAAAGCCAGCAAGTAGTCTACCATCATTTGATTCCCATACGCAGACATGGAGCCAATTGCTTGCTGAGTGTGCAGTAGAAGAGCCCTTCTTGGATCAGTAGGAGGGCAACTGGATTGGCCAGTTTTGGCTACATTTTTTCTATTTCCTTAACCTATTTCCTGTCTGGCCATTGAATGGCCATCACCTAGGTTGTCTTGCACTCCTTCAACCTCACCTCCAACTCTTCTCCATTTTCAACCCTTTTCTCAGGGTCTTCAAAAACTTCGTGTTGTTTCTTCCTAGCCATCACTCCAAATTAGACAGGTCCCACCGGGCGTGCCAAAATATGTTAGAAAAAAATCTGGTCTGGGCCAAATCGATAGAGGTGATTCGACAGAGAAGCCAAACTTTTACAAACAACAACAAATCAAGCAATTATGGTCTGAACGCCTTATGCCTTGACAGATTTAAGGACTTCTTTGGAGGTTGTAATGCGAAAAAACAAGAAGGAATAAACTGAAAATCAATTGTTGAACAAACAAACTTGGAATTTAATCGGTAAAATTAAACTTCCAGTTCAATATACATGACAATCGACAGAGAATTCTTAGTTATAGAAATTAAACTACAGATAGACTACTCCTAAGTAAGAACTAAGTAAGTTAAGTTACTCCTAATGCTACAAGGGTTATAAATTTGTTTGAAGCTGATTTAACTTCGAATTCCCAGCTTTTATATTGCTGGTCTTCAAACTCCACTGCTGCTCTGTTGCCACATGTCCCATCATATAGCCAACTACTTTCACTTTAATGCCCATGATCTCTGCAACTGCCAGTAACTGCTTCTCTGTTGCAGTTTTTCTCCTTCTAGGAAACACGACACGTATCCTGTATGCCTTGCATGCTAACTTTATGGCTTGATGCCTGGGCCATGTTTGGCCACATTCCACTTCACTACTAGACGAATCGACAGGAAAACTACAATTGCCACGTCTGTCTCTTTGACTATTTCCTTTTTGTCACTTGCTCTATATTCTAGACTTCATATTCACCCGCTTTTCACTTGTAAACTTGTTGAAACTCATGGTCCTTAAACCTAGCATCTGCTGGACCAATTCTCTGCATTTGTTACATACAATCGACAGAGAATATGCAATTTTTAGTGTCAACAATGCCCCCCTCATTCAAGACAAAAAAGAGTTTTTGCCTTGAATGATTATTTAAAAAGAAATAAAGTTGGACATTTAAATATTTGAGCTGTTTATCCATGATTTGTAATAAGGCCCAAATGCTAAAAGTTAATCCAACATAATTTCCGAGAACTTCGAGTAAGCCCAACTGATCAAACTATCAAATAAAGCCCAAACGTTAAAACTGAGGGCCACTACAAGCTATTTGAATGCCAGAATTCAAATCATCATTCCACATTCTCTATCTTTCTCTGCTATTTGCTTCTTTAAACCTCTGGCTTCGAAAAACCCTTCTGTTTACATTCTCTAATGGCACCCAAATGAGATCAAGTCAAAGGAAAGAAACAAATTGAGCCATCATCTGTCCAACGTTTTCCAGTCGATTTTCAGCAGCTACTGCGTCAAACCATCTTTAACAGCTGCATTATCCCACGCCATGACAACCTTGGAGAAGGAGAACTGGGCCCTACTTTCAATATAACCATTCCTGATGAACTTACCTAGTACTATCCTATTGCAAACACTGAAACACTACTCTTCAACAAAGCAGAGCTGTCATGGAAACATTGGGATTTCAGCCCTAATCCTCTACGCACATGGCAAAACCCCAATCCAGACTGGAAACGATAGGTTCAACGAATGATGATATACGACATAGACCTCTGGAGAGCTTTAGGTATTT